AATCTCCCCCCAAATGCCCCCTCTCAAACAAAACAAATCCCAAATAAGCCATGCAACCCCCAAATGAAACATTCTGACTGAAATAGCAGCAAAGATCTGGGAACAGAATCATAGATTCTACTATGAATTGTATTAGAATCATGGATTCTAATACTGGATTAGTGTCTGTGCTACTAATCATGAAGCATCTGTTTACAATAACTTGTTTAATATGCATAATCTCTGAATTGATAAAGTGCTGTAAGTTGTTTGAAACATGAAATGATCCTTGCAAAACCCCTCACTTCCCCCATTTTTGGCTGTTAAATATTATTACTGTCCCCATCTCTCTCTGGTTAGGTAATACACACCCCCACCCCCCCATTTTTGGCTGTTAAATATTATTACTGTCCCTATCTCTCTCTGGTTAGAGAATAACAAACATGTCAAACATCTTGTTTAGCTTTGTTCCTCAGCTATGAGCAGAGATAACACAAGGTATGCATAAAACTGATGTTATGAATCAACAAATACATCTTTTTATAGATACACGCATGGTTAAAGCTTACCACTGGCACAGTTAAATGTGAAACTGCTTATTGCTGCTGAGTGCACAACCTAGCCATGGTCTATGTCAGGCTTTCACTAAGCACAGCTCACCCCTGCAAACTAGCAGGAGCAAAGTGGGATGGCCAACGGCTACAGTGTATTCCCAGTGTTTCCAGTTGTTAGGGCAGATGTTCTTTTAAAAAGGAAATAAAAGCAGTGTAAGAACAGCAGCTTGTATCTGTTGCAGTACTGTAACTCCATAGCCTACCATGCTGGCTTTGTTTCAGGTCTGATCAGTACAGGGCATGCCAGCACAAACATGATTTGAAGGGGAAATCAAGTACAGCGTGTGCGATGTGTTTGAGCAACCCTGAAGACATCGAGCAAGGGTCTGTTAAAAGCTTTCATTTCCATCATGAAGATGCAGGAGGCATGTCTCACGTGTCCTTAGAGAGAAATGGTGGCAGCAAGCCTTTAGTGCTCTTTGCCAAGGACTGAAGTGTGAGGCAAAAACATGTTCAACTGGATTGTGCCACGTGTGAACCAAGCAAATGTTTTGTGCAAGTGCTGCTGCTTAACTGTCTCTGAGACACTCTTCCATGTATCCTACTGTCTCTCCTGCCCCTGGAAAGCAGGCAGCTGTTTGGATGCAGTTTGTGATAGCACATTGGCTAAAGCACACTGATAAGCTCATCTGGGAGTGAAAAAAAGGATGGAAAAGATGGTCTTACCACGTTGGTTTCTGCTCTGTGGCCCCTTACATACATGTAGGAGGATCCTTTTGCTTTACAGCATGATTTGCATTTCTATCTCTAAAATGGTCATTAGTACAGAACAGCATCACTGTACTGGAATGGTCACTGTGGTGTTGTAAGACATTATAATCAGTGGCTGAAAGTAGGCTGGTGTGTTTAGCTTTCACATCACTCTGTTTAGATTTCTTCTGGCATAACTTGAGAATAATCTTCTCAGCTGTTCTTATAAAGAGGCAACCTTCTCATATCATTGCTTTATGACAGTCCAACTGGCACTCCCCTTTATCTTTCCTTCCTCCTTTGCTCACATTACATCAACCTGGTTTTTACTGTACATGCAATATTCTGCACTAGACAACAACCAGGTCAAAAGAGAACTAACTCTGAATACTCACTTTCTGTAAACTAATGTGTAACTGGAGAAAATAACCTGATAACTAAAACTCACTTAGAATTTGGCTCCCATGCTAGGACATGGGGAAGGAATTTTTGGATGTCTTCTGTTCTCTTCTGAATCTTTGTCAGTGTTGATGATGATGTTTCCATGAAGTTGTGTTTGTTTCATTTAAGAATATGTTTCTTCCCTATTTTCCTTTCAATCTGTAACATATAACATTTTCCTCTTTTGGAAACAGGGAAAAAAGAGGCAATATATTTCACTTCATGTACATAGCCCAAATGCGTTTGCCTCAATGTCAATATTTAAGGGAAAAAACAAGACACAGCAAAACCCAAGAATCTAAACCTAAGGAATCCAGCCAGCAATCCCAGAGTCTCTGGATAGACCCTGGGAGTGCCAGGTTTTCTGTTCCATGCTGGGAGCAGGAAGAATGCAGTTTTCCGCTAGAACAATGACAGTTTGGCTGTACCCACCTACTAAAAACAAAAGATAAGAGCTACTCAATAACAAAATGCTGCTTTACTTCAGCTGCACCCTGCTTTTGGAGAGAACCAGCAATTATCTGAGATAATCTTTTAAAGGAAAAGTCAATCTCATTGATAACAAAGCTTCCTTTAAGAGAATTCAAGCCAGGAACTCTTTTTTTTGTGTTCTGTTCCCTATGGTTGGGATGCAATGTTTTGTTGAAGGCTTTGGTCAGAGTTAGGCTGTTCCTGAGCTCTCCTGTTGATGCTGCTTCAACTTCACAGACTTCTGGGTCATTTCTAATCCAAGTTTTCCCTTGCAAAGAGTAATCATAAACTGCTAGAAAGTTAAGTGTCCTTAACTCAAGTTGGCACTTGAGCCAGTAACCAGTAAGGAAAACAGCAACAAATACAAGGAAATGGGTATAGTCCCACTCTCTCACTGATTATCCAGCTGAAAAATTACTTTATATGTGCTATTTCAACTTGTGACCAAACTGAGTAAGGAATATGCTGTTGGGGGAACACAGCAGAGATTCTCTTGGCTTTGCTTCCCCAAAAGGCTGGCAATGAAGTAGAGGGGAAAAAAGTCTTCCCAAGTCCTTGAAAATGAGATTCCTCCACATCGGATGGCCTGGAGCAGATCAGCTTTTCAGAGCAGCCTCTTGTGAAGAAATCTACTGTTACCTTCAGAGCATTTTCATGGGAGGTTACAAGTCTGAACAAGCAAGTGCTTTTCTGGAGCAGCAGTCATTGCCATGCACGTGATGGGTGGAAGAAAGTCCCTGGGACTCCCCCCTGTTTAAAGGCAGACACAAAGTTTATGAACCCACCGTTTTAAAGCACACCAAACCCCAAAATCCTGCCCTGGGCAGGGCTTTAAGGGAGGAACCAAGCAGCCATCAATGTTTCCATCAAGGTATAAAATGAGAGCAGGATGGGCTATGTTCTGCTTTACTCCGAACAGCAGCAGCATGTGAACTCGGCACCATTTGAGCCTTGGCTGTGTTTATGAGCGGTCCAGGAGCCTGCCTGGCTGCCAGGCCAGCGGGCTATTCAGGCATGGGATGTGGTGCATGAATGGATCTATTCATTGCCTTTCTCTTCTTATGCTTCTCCAAGCCTTGGGGCATTGATCCTGTGCTGTTGTCCCTTCCCCAGAGCAGAGGAAGAGGCTGCCTCTGCCCTCATTCCCCTCTACTCTAGTTCCCTTGCAAAACAAGATTCAAAGCAAGATTCAGTGCCGAGAGCACTTATCTAACATAAACTACCATTAGCCATAATAAAGTCCAGTGTATCTCAAATATACCAAACTATCTGCAACTGTGCAGAAAGTTCTGATAAGTAAGTCCTCACTTGAGATAGCCCTCACATCAGATTTACTTCAGCCAGGTCATTTTCAAGGACCCGAGCATGAACATGCACAGAGAGTCTTTCTCACATAGTCTTAACCTTTTAACTGCTCTTTAATCTCAGGCATAATCTAGGTTAAAAGCCACAGAAACTCCCTGTTCTGAACTCACACGTGACCACATCAAGGTACTCCACTTCTGCTGAAGATTATTAAGCCTGTTGGGCAGGTTATGATGGCTGGCTTCCCCACAGGGCCTTGCAATGTCACGACAGTAGTTTTCTCCCTCATGTTTTCTGATGATTTCTGATTACTTCCTGCATGAAGCAGAATATTCCTCTCCTGACAGCAGGAACCACCGTTCCTGTTCAGCTAAATACCCTACCAGAATAGCTGCTGCAACATTCTGACATCTGACTGAGGAAAGGCTTCAGAGCGTGAGTCTGGTCCTGTGGCAGCACGAGGAGCTGCTGTCAGCTTTGCCAGTCAGGCTGTAGAGAGCTTCTACTCCTCTTTGAGCTTTTGGCTTTCTAGATGTGTCTGACACATATACATACACATACATTTGCTTTGTGTATTTAGCCAGACACAGAGCCCTGTGTGTGTGTACAAATGACAGATGTGTTTATGTTGCTTTATAGGTGGAACACTGTGGAGTGTTACATTTTGCCAGATGAATGTGAAATACTGAAGCAGACTTTCACACACTTTGCTCCAACAAATACCTTTTAGATGTGGTTCCAATGTACAGAATACCATTTTCCATGATGAAATCTGAAGTGCATATTTTACTGCTGAAAGGAAGGTGCTTAAAATGAGAAAACAGGATATAAAGTCAAATTCACTATATCAGGAAAAGAGAGGAAAACACTCTTCCTTCCCCTATTACTGACAGTAATATGTTAGGGCCTGAACCAGTTCAGTGTTCTCAAGTGTCAATTTGCTTCCTATGATGCAAACCTGCTAAAGATTTTTGCATGTTTGGTTTGAAGAAAGTACTTCTTAAATCATCTTTAAAGTACTGTGCCTGTAGCATGACACTTGTCACCTTTTCATCTACCTTAAGAAGTGAGCAACGGCTTCCAAAAGATGCACTACAGATTATAAGGGCTTTGACAAACCCAGAGGAAAAATGACACTGGTTTAATGCTTTGGGAGTTTTGGAAGACTGTGGAGTACAAACTGTCACGAAGCCAACTTAATATAACTGTTTCCTTTATACTCTAAGGATTCACTAGGGACTTCACTGCCAGCATACAGGAAATAAAGGCTGTTGTGCCTGAACAAGACTTGGTTTCTTACAATTTAGAAAACTACACGACGTTTCCTTACAGGAAATGTTACATTCATACAAATTCCCATATTTATTTGTAGACAAAAATTGCCATTCACATAGCAGGAAAACTAGATGAAAACAGAGACGGCACAGACTTAAAGGTATTATGGGGTATTGGTGAACAGACCTACACGATGGCAAGGAAAACAACTACACAAAAACATACTTAAATGTACTTAAATCTTTATTGTTGTCTCCTTCTCCAGCACCAGCCTCATTTCTTAACAGGAATCCTTGAGAATAAATTACTACAGGAATGCATTTCTTCAGAGAGGAGCTTGCAGAGTTTGTGTTAGGGAAAGCTTGTCTTCCATGGTTACACTATTCGACCAAGGTATATTGACTTGGGATACTTTTCCTTTAGATCAGGCCACTGAACAATGAAATAATCTGAAAAGTAGTACAGAATCTTCCCAGAGAGGGATAAAGTTTCCACACGGCAGATGCTCTCTACATACACAATGATTGCTCTCTTTATTCCTAGAAGCCCAAGGAGAAGAGCAGATATACAGACAGGAACACATGTTCCTGGTCCATTGCACAATATCTAAAAGAGATGAAACATGTTACACAAGTAAAACGTGAGTTTTTTCATAGGGTGAAGAATGAAGTGTGTGCATTCATGTCACATTCCACTTACAAATCAAAATGTTTTCAAGGATATCTGAAAGCACAAAAGGGGCATGTGAATATGAAGAAAAATGGGACGAATGGGGCAAACAAAAGACATTATTTCAAAGTAGCTGCTGAAAAATATTATCTTTCTTTACACGTTGAGGAGGAGAAGAGCTCTGAGAGGACGCAGTTAATCAGTTCATGTCTACGAAGGAAGAAGAAGTCTTGACTCAGGCGTATACTAAACAGCTTCTACTCTCACTCACAGCTTTGTGTTGTATCACTAATGAGATTTGTGCACAGCTTAGGGCCAAAGAAGTTTAATTAGTATTACTAAAGCTGGGATCTGGGTATAAACCTCTTGAACTTTGGCTTAAGTCAGTAAAACACACAGGGGTTCAGCAAGAATGTGCTGATGACTTAGGACCTTCATCAGAATCTACTAACTGATGTGCATGACTGCATTTGTTTTGCTTTTAATAAACACATAGGAACAAGCAAACAGAAGGAAGGTGTTTTGGCAAATACGTGTCACGTCCTTGTAGCAGATGAGCTCAAATTCACTTAAAAATGTTAACAGTAACAGAAAGTGATCTTCCAATTCTAGACATTGGGAAACAGACACACAGATTGCTTAAAAGCAGAAGGTTTAAAGCAGGGTATATTAAGGCACTCTTCCTGGGTATCCAAACTGTTTTCAGGCAAGGAATTTCATACTAAATTTAACTGCTACCATGTAATCAGCGCTTTGCTGCACAGCTGGGCGTTATGTGGAAAGAAAGCCTTCTTTTAGAAAATCATGACCCTATTTCTTGCCAAATTTGATTAATGTGCACTGATGTTGATCGTGCTACTGGTACTTGACTACTGATACCTAAATGAAGGCATGTTTAGGTATCTCTGTAATTGCACTTGTTACTGTTGTGTAAACACAGGCATATGAATCAAGTTGGAATGTTCTGTGTTTGCAGACAAAACCCATCAGGGTCCCTGCTGCAGCATCTCTTTTGGCAAGTGCCTAAGAAGCACCAAAACAGTCCAGAAAAGTGGTTTACTACTGTTTTTTACTGGTGAGTTAAATATTCAGTCTGACTCCTGATTTCAGATTAAAAATTCAGTTTGAAGTGAACAGACAGAAATGTGCATTGCTGCTAAACAGAAACTCTTCTTTCCCTTTCCTGGAGCTACCTGGAGTACAAATACTGTTTCATCTTCATTGCTCCCCAAGCCCTTTTTCTGTTGCATTAGTCCTCTCACCTGTCCTTTCCTAAGTATCTTTCATTTCAATGTTCCTCTGTAGTCTGAGATGTATCCCACCCATCCTCTCTCCCCTGGTTTTGTTTGTTACATCTGGTATTTGTTTTCCTCTCCATCCCTGTTCCCAGCCACTCTTCTACTGTCTGGACTTGGACAGCTCTGCACTCTTTCAGCTTCCATCTAGTCTGAAAGCTCAACCCACTGGTTTAAAGCAAGGAGAGAGGTTGACATCAGTCCCTTAATCTCCATAGTCTGACACAAAAACATACCAGTTACATATACGAGTTAGGTCGGGCAGACATCCTACATTCTCCTCAGCCCAGAAGCTGAAGTATTATATTCATGGTCTTTATCAAGCCACTGTGCCGTACACTTCATCCTACTTCTCCCTTCCTTTATTAAGCTTGGCTAGGGGCTCCAGCCTGTCTGGTATTTGGTATTCCTGTGTCTAAATGCACACACAAAGGTAAATGCTAGCAGGAATTCCAAACCAAGTAAAGTTCATGTAATTAAAGAATAGTAATTGGGTCTAGTTGTGACTCTGTATGTAGCTCTAAAGGCCACACAGAATTGCTGTTACTACTTTGCTGAGGTGCAAAACAGAAAAGCAACGATCAAAACTGAAATCATAATAAAACACCTTTACTATATCAAGGTTCTGATATGATGCACTCAATTTATACCTTCTACTGTTTATAACTTGTAAGTTGTTTCTCAGATCCCTTGGATTCATGGAAAAGTAACTGTACGCAAGAAAAAGAACCAGGAAAATTATGGACTAGGCATCTCTAAAAAACCATGATCTGATCGTAACTCATGTCCTCTGCTCTTTCCCCTTCCACACATACCAGTTCAAATGAGACAAAACAGATGGGACTATAGGACCTCTGTATGCAAAATGCCCATTAAATACTCTGACTATAAATGTTCCTATCCTAAAAAGTTTGGGTTTAGGAACTGTCCCCTGAAAGAGACTGGTATAAACCTGCTGAAGCCACCAGACAAATAGATCCCTATCTGAATTTGGGGCTGTGATCATTAAAAATTAACCTTCAGTTAACGTTCTGTGTGTGTCCAGAGACATGTTGTACCTAGAAAATGGTGCAGTTGCTCACGTGCTGGAGTGGCAATTCCCCTCCAAAAATCTGGTCCGACCAGTCCTACTTACTCCCTCTCACATTGTCAGCAGGAAGGGAGACCAGCATTCCTGCTGCTTGGAATACAGTATCATACAGTCATCAAGGGATACAGGGGAAAATCCTGAGACAAGAAGTGTGTACATCGTAAGATGAGGAACCTTTGTGGAATCTCTAAGCTAGAAACGCTGCTGTTCAGTTCCTTCCAGTATACAAACTTGTTGATGGTGGAAGGGAACTGAATCATCTACATTCACCCTTAAACACATGAAAGGAGATGAGCTGTCCTTCTAGTGAATCTCAAAACACTGCTCAAAAGTACATTTTGGAGGACTGGGGTTTTCTATCTTGAAAAGACCAAAGCTTTTCTTTCTTCCCCTGCAGCAGAACACAAGTATCTCTCAGGGAATCACTAGTATACTGTGGAGAAAAAGCAAGCACCTATTGGGCAAGAAGGGACCAGGGCCTCTACAAGGTCAACCAGCTATTGAGGGTAAGTGTTTCCCAGTATCTATTTACTTTAGCTACAAGGCTGCCTGTAGAATATTTGCCTTGCATGAGATATGTCTCCACAGATCTCTAGTTTATTTGGTTCAGCCTTCTGTGGTGAGGTAGCAGAAAGGGAAAGAAGGAGCCTCTGTGACCTTCTGAGCTGCCCAAGGATTTTCTTGGTCAATGAGCAATCTGACTTTGTTGCCAACAAGCTGTAAGGAATCATTCCAGAAGGCAGTGCTGCAGATCTCTGCACCATCTGCATTCGCCTCCACTGCTAGGTCTAGGAACTAAATCCTGCACCTTAAAATGCTCTACCAAGTCAGTGTAACTGCTTTTCAACAGTACAATAAAATGAAACAATCTGTATATTAATGGAGGTTTAAAAGTAAAGGATCAGAATACAACATTTCTACTTGGTGACTCTCTAATTACATATTAATCACTTTCCTATTAAAATGGAGTAATTGTTGCTTTTCTGTTTCAGATATTTTCTACCACTGTTGAAAGAAAACAAGCTAAGCCAGCAGTCTGGCATACTGGGAACACTGGCACATGGCACAGCTGCTGATAAAAGCTGCTTTAGAGTTGGTGAATGCAGCACTGTAGTAGAGTGACATTTACCAGCTCAAACACTGAAAGCATAGCTCACAGCTTCACCGGGATTAAATGCCAGGCCACCAGTTGAAACAAAAATGAGTAAAGCAGAAAACATGCAGTTTTCCTCAGCAAGATGTAAACATACATTTGCTGTGTATCTTTAATGAACAGATACTTGAGTCCTGCTTATGTTCCCAGATTACAACGATCGGAGGACAGCATCAGTCCCCCAAAACTTAGGATAAAGTGGAAAACTCATGGGAGATTTGTTTTGCGTAATAAACTGTCGACACCTGCTCTTCTCCTTAATAAATTCCACAGGGATTGCCCTTTGCCACCTGGAGAAAAGCTGCTCAGCTTTCTAGGGCTGGGGATGTTGATTAGTGTTGCTGCAGGGTGATGCACACTTGAAAACTGAAGACTGCACTGCTTGTTGCCTATGGAGCTGTCTCTTGGAGTATGTTCAGAGGACACTCCTCAAGCTTCCTCAGTGCTGGTAATACTTCCTTCCTCACAGTGCTAAATAAGTGGAGGTAAGAATAAGGGACTAGACTGTAGTGATGGAGAGCCACTAAAAGAGGCAAAGGCAAGCAGAATGGTACCAATCTGACCCAAGCTGGGTTAACTGCATCATCTTTGTATATCTAGGCAAGAAAACAGAGCTACTTTTGACCAGTGTTGGGAAAAAAGCCCAATTAGGTATTTTCTGCTTCTCAGGAACAAAAGTGTGCCTGTAATTTATTAATAATTTTGTATTTTTGATGGCCTGCTCAAACTTGGCTTTTGTTGATGATAAATACTTCATTTCAATGGCTATTTAATATTTGGGAACAAAAAGGAACTGTTCAGCCTGTAGAGATACGAAAGCCCAGAAGATACCTCTGAGATTTGTCAGAAAAGTCAAAGAGATTTGAATAGCTCTTCCTGATATTTTAAGGAAGGCAAAGGAAAAGGGATAAAAAAAGAAGACTGTATGGAAGAGAGGAAGTGGGAAACCGATCTGAACTACAGTTGAAAAGCTTCATTTAGAAACAAAAACCTGGACTCCTTCATTCATCAGGTAGGAGCTGGGGGTTTTGACACTGCAGGAGCTTCTTGCCTTTGATGATTTCAGAGTGCAATAACAAATGGGTTTGTTGATGTGTTTCTTGTTTTGCTGGGGGGATCTTGGCTGTTTCTGTGGCATGAAAAGAGAGAATCTGCAAGGAATTAATTTGTATTGTGCTATGTAAATCACAGCATGTCCTGAGCTCATCACACCTTGCTTGGATTTCAGTATTATCTTACTACACACTGAGGTGAATTATCCAACTGAACATACTTTCCCTTCCCCTACAGAAGCACTGAGTGCTACCTATAAAGGCAGCTGTAATCTGGCTTCTTGGACTCAGCTGTTCCCATTTCCTTCCTGTGATTCCCAAGGACCTGGTTCCACTGAGTACTCAGT